TGTTGTTGTTGTTGTTGTTGTTGTTGTTGTTGTTGTTGCTTCGAGGTGCTCCGAAAAAAATCAACGGAGCGACGCTGTGCAATCCCAGCATTCGTTGCGTGCCGCGCGCGTAGCAGACGACGCGCAACGGCTGGATTTCCGTTTGCCCCTCCACAGAACCGGGGCGTTCTGCCCCTTCTCGGTTTTGGGGAAATTCTAAACTGCTCCGCAACTGCTCAGGGGCACGATTCCCGAAGATGCTATAAAACATTGCTTCGAGTTCGAATGCGTAGGTCTACAGTCCCCAGATTTTAGAGAGAATCTAGGGACTTTACGTAGGTTGTTTAACATCTCCTTTACCAGTAATCCCCGAGGTTCGTCTGGCGGTTGTGCAGTTATCGACGGCTGACTCACAAGTCGCGGGATTGTATCCTGGCGACGTGTTTTCGAAGGGAGGCGAAGATACTTTTATTTACCGTATATACATTTCGGGGCACGTCATACAAGTCCAGGAGGTGAAAATTTCCGGAGGCCAGCACTGTTAACATGCCGCGGTTTTTGGGACGTCTCTGACCGTCATTATCCTTAATCGGTACTTTTTTTTCATTCTTATGTTGTCATACGCTTGACGCACTAGTGGCGTCCGCCGCCATATCTGTGGTCCATGGTGGCGCAGGTGCTCTTTGGTGGGGCGCTTTATCGACTCGGTCGTAGGTTGTGCGCGGTACAGTGTGCACGACGCTGCATTGTGTACTGATAGATTGTGGTTAAGCACTTACGCGTAGATAGGGTTGCCACGCGTCTAATTTTAGACCCTCTCGGCCGGTTTTTCAGGCAGTGGGCTGGTTGCCGGTCCGTATCCTCTGCCATGGCTGGTTTTTTCCTTATTTTTTCAGAGCAGCAAATACGGGTATTTATATTTATTTATTTATTTATTTCAAAGTACCTTACAGGCCCCATGGGGGGCATTGAGTAAGGGGGGCTATACATATATACAAATAAACTGGAAAAAAATATACAAGACAGACAATTGAGCAAGGGGGGAATACATATAGACACCTCAAAATGAAAAAAAAGTACAAAAGAAACAATTGAGTAAGGGGCGCAATACTTATATACATCTCAAACTAAAACAAATACAAAAGAAACAATTGGAAAATAATAAGTCAAACAAAAAGCACCAACATGTACAAAAGTTCAACATGTACAAAAGATACACGCATAGTAACCGTGGGCGAAACACTGTATTTCCTGCGCGTGCAGCGGCCACAAGGCAGAATTAGCCACAAGGCATATGCCAGCAATTAGACTGGTAGGTCAGCTCAGTTGGCCGTATTTGTTTTTACATCAGGCTTATTTGGCTCAAGGAAAGTAGTGTTACGTTAAATGACACTGCGTACGATCAACATGACATGGCGTCTCTTGTTTATCTCCTATAGTAGTTTATCTCCTGTTTATCTCCAATCATTTATATCCTGGTAGTTAAATCCTCCTCCCCCCGCTCCCTGTCGTAGGGCTGGGGGTTTTTTTTTTTTGTGTGTGTGTGTGTGTGTGTGTGTGTGTGTGTGTGTGTGTTAGAGAAAAGGTGGCAATCGTACGTGGAGGCCACCAAGATTATTTTTTGGTGTTATTTGTTCTTATTATTTATTCTTATTATTTCAATGTATGCAATGTTCTACCGCAGTTGACAGTCCCTTCTATTTTTTTCTCTAAATGACTGAATTTATATGTGTGCGATTATGTATGGATATTTTTGCGTGTACCTACATGCTCGTGTGCATGTGTGCGTATACATAAAGGTACTTATGCGTATGTATGTTATTTCTTCCTTTTCTAAGAGTGAATGGTAATTTTCTGTGTATGTGTCTTTTTTTTCGTTTTTTTTTTATTTCTTCGTGCTTATCTCGCGTTCGTTGAAATACATATATCTGCAATTGTATAGTTTTGCATTCACGTCCCCACGGCCGCCATCTTAGGGCCCTGAGCTGGTTGAGATGCTGCATGATCTCAAACGGAGTAATCAGATTAGTGCCGGTTCCAATCGCGTTCTCTTGTGTTCTCTCTTGGCGTGGCTCACGAAAAGAAGAAAGCATAGAGAGTACAAAAGAACGCGGGGGCCACACTACTCTGTGTCCTTCTCTACAGTGGTACTTTCTTATAAAATAAAAAGTCATGGTTTCCGCTATCTTAGAGCATCCAACGCCGAAAACCTGTCTGTGACGTCACGTGAAAACAGTATAGAAATATTTTTTGCGTGATTATGTATGTGTTTGTCCCGTTGCTGTTACCTTCATGGGAGTGGGAACTCCGTTCAAGTGTATTGTCGCATTTTTTCTCCCCGCTCCATTATTATATTTTGTAGGGGTGGGAAAATTAACATTATTATTATTATTATTATTATTATTATTATTATTATTATTATTATTATTATTATTATTATTATTATTAGACCACTACAAATTATAATAATGAAGGCGTGAGCAAAAATGCGACAATACACTTGAACGGTGTTCCCACTCCCGTGAAGGTAGCAGTAACGGGGCAAACACACACATACATACTGACACAAAGAATATACTTCTACACAGTTTTGACGTGACGTCACAGACAGGTTTCCGGTGCTGGGTGCCCTAAGATGGCGGCAAACATGACTTTTTATCTTATTGTATTGTGCCACTGCAGAGGAGGATTCAGAGTAGTTCGTCACTTGTGTTCTTTTGTAGCCCCCCCCCCCCCCCCTGTCTCTCCCGCGCACACGTTCATGGTCACAATTATTGGACAATGGCTCGTTCCTTGTACACGAGGAACAAACCTTTGACCTTTTAGTGGACGTTTTGTGGCCGTGTTATTTTTTGCACTATTTAGCATCAGTATCGTTTCTCGCTTTCTGTATAGCTCCAAATTTGTTCAGCACTTCTTTAGACCGCGCGAATGCCGATGTTTCGCATGTCCATGTCAGTGTCACTAATTGTGTTGTTGCGGAGCTTTTCGGCAGAATGCATTTTATTGCGCATAAGATAATCCTTTGCTGAAATGCTGCCAACGCGAACGGTTCGTAGCTGCAGAAGCCTCGTCTTGCCGGTCGTTCGTTTAAATTAAGTTTCTTGAGTTGTGGGGAAGCAGTTGGGGCCCGCAGAGCATCAGCCTTGATTCGGGCCACCATTCCGTAACTTCGGCGACGCCCTGCCAGCACCTTTCCCGAGTGACGTTACAGCGTGACGTCATCGGCGCACGGGGAAGGCGGTGGTCGGCAAAACACCTCGCCGGTGCTTCGGCGTGGTACAGTGGCATGGTGCTTGGGGCAAGCTTTCTTTTCTCCTTTTTTAAGATTGAGGCCATCTTACTGGGGCAAGGTTAGCTGTGGTATGTGTAAGAAGACATCTGGGTGTGTGGTAAACTGAGTGCCGAAAAACTTGACGCGCTGGCTGGCTGTTTATTTTGGAGAAGTAAACACACGTGGTGACCTGTGCGAGGAGCAGTGGCATCGTCTGCAAAATGTGCAGTGTTTATTGTGGCGTTTAGTGTGCGTTGAAAGGCACCCATGACGAAACTATACATATTCAATTTGTGTCACAGACAGGTTCTCGGCGCTGGGTACCCAGGTTCTCGGCGCTGGGTACGAAATGCAGTCTTTGGTCCCGGAATTCTTTTGTATTTCCGCAGAATGTAAGGAACGCGAGGGGCGCCGGCATTAATAATTTGATTTGACAGTCTCTTGCTGCGCGCGTTCGAGTCCGCGTGGTGTCCAAACCAACTGGTACTTAGACATGCCGGCCACGGTGACGTCATTGCATACTATGGTACCTAGACATGACGGCCACGGTGATGTCATTGCACACTATGTAAAGTTTTATTGCTGCTACCGCGCAACAAAGAAGAAAGAGGAAAAATTGCCCGCAGCTTCCCTCGGGGGAACACTGAGGAGGATGCGGAGCATATAATTGGTTAACGGGGTGTTAAAGTGCGACTTACTTGGGTCGATGGCTAAATTGGTTAACGTGGTTGTGAAATGGGGTGTTAAATTGCGACTTACTTGGGTCGATGGCTAAATTGGTTAACGTGGTTGTAGGAGGGGGTGTTAAATGAGTGAACACGTACACACGTATGCGAAAGGGCGGCGCTGGTCGAAGGGACGTCGATCATTGTGTTTGTGGATTCGTTGGAATTCATTTCACCGCGACCTTGGACGTCGACGCGCCGTACAAACCAACCGACGAGCGGCAACTGAGCGAGCGAGCGCCGACCTTGAGTATATATACAGCTCGACGGCGCATGCACTGTCAGCTGTTGAATGTTCTCGAAGCGCGACGCCACATGCGCGTCCACTGGAGAATCAGGAGAATTGTAGATGTCGAACGCGGTGTGTAGAGGAGGAAGGGATGCACAGATGGTGGAAGAGTGGGCGACGGCGCGACGGCGCATGCGCGCGCGTCAGCTGTCGAATGTTCGAGAAGTGGTGCGGACGGCGCACTACAAGGCGCGAGTATAAGATGCTTCCGCATCTAAAACAGAGGACACGTCGACTCAGCACGCACGTCACACGTGGGTGTCATCGCTTTTAGACGGAGCGAGAGAAAATTGTGACCCCTTTGTTTTTGTTTTGAGAAAGCTCGGGGCTGATGGTACTCGCATGCGACATTGTGCCCAACGGGCCAACGAACTCTCTGTTCGATACCCTTTCCTGTGGGTTGCATCCCCCCGTATTTAAGTGCATGAAATGGCTGAAGCAGTAAAATTATATTTCAAAACAGCGTAGTGTACGTGTCGTCTTCTTGTCCGTGTGTCCGCGCACTGGTGTTTTGAATTTGCCGCGTATCTTATTGATGAATGCACTCGCAACACAGTGTTGAGTTTCGTGTCTATTGTAATAATTTTTTTACAAATAAGTTGCCTTTATTTGTTAAATATATATGGTATTTAGTAGTTGGTGCGTGAATCGGCGAACTACGCAATCAAAGTTATTCGCGTCTAGCATCGGTATCGACACAAAGCGCAGACTGCGTAGTCTGTGACAAGATGGATGCCGTGCGGACTTTGTGGAGCTAGCAAGTTTCCTCGAAGGAATTCGTCCTCCAATATTTTATCCGTAGCGCTGGTCATCAATTGGTTGCGCCAAAGTATTTCAACGCTTGTGCGTGCTTGCCACTGCAATCGCACCGTCCTTTGTCTCTCGGTAAGTTTGTTTGCGACACTTTTCGGAAGCGATACCCTCCAGCAGAAGAATGCTGCATCGATTGTTCATTTAAAAAGAGGCTGTTAGGACAGGTGTGCGTATCACATGCTGCTTTATTGTCCTTGGATTTCTGCTTTTTCGGCTTTGCTTAGATCGTTCCGTTGCTGAAAACTTTTACGTCGTATGCCTCGCTTTTACTGCCGAGCTTGTGACGTGGTACCAACGGCTTTGTCGTTTTAGTGTTGACGTTCCGTAGGGTAGCTATTTTGAGGTTGTTCTAGCATTACTTCCTTGTTTTACGTACGAGTCAAAGCTTTTGCGTTAGCTACCTCGATGTTACACCGAACTAATCGCCGCAGTGTGCGAAACCCACCTTACCTGTGCTCGAAAACGTCTGTGATTGGTCCAAAACAACGGTAACCGCGACCTCTTATCACAACGATGACGCGTTCAGGGGGTTCTCCTTGGGTTCCCCAAGCGCGAATGATCATCCAGTGATTCATTATTATAATTTGGCTGTACTCTAGTTGGAAACTGGCTTTAACGCGTACGTCATAAACTCAAGAGGCTTTCTTTTTAACTCTTTCCAGCCTCGCTTGCTGCCTCAACTTGATGAAGTATGGAGGCCCAAGACAGCAAGAAAGGTAGTGTCATCCGATTTCTTTTATGCGTGTGATTAGGTTCCAAGTGTGACGCTATCTGGCCGTAGGTGTCGCAAGGTCAACACTATAACATGTTCATATCGGCATTTCGCGCAGATACTAGAACGTATTTGTGTATACTTTGTTTCTAGCAAAAAAAAAAAATCAGGGAAAAAGTTATTTCGAACGCGCGGAAACATTAAGTACTGTGGTTATTGCGGTGATAATTGTGCTGCCTGATTGCTGTGTGCTTACATACTGTTCAGTCATAAGTTAGATAAGTGTTCAGTTAACAGATTAAAGTCGTAGTGTCCTAGCTACGGTGGTGAAGAATCGTTAATGCCTAGTTAGATTCACATATAGCGAACTTGTAAACTTACCGCGTTTTTTTTTCGGTGGGGGGGGGGGGGGGGGGGGCACTGTCACAGGTTATTTGATGTGCATGAATAGGGTTTTTATGGGGCCTAGTTGGTTCATGAGCATAATGTAGTACGGCGCTATGAACTAGACACAAAAACATACAGTACACAGTGCTAGTGTTGACACGTTTTATGATTCATCTTGCATTTTTTTGCTCATATGTATTCTTTGGTATTTAACATTGCTTCGTCATTTTATAGCGTAGGTGATCCTTCGCTGGATGTGAAGTATTATTGGCGTGATACTGCAAATGAAGTTAATCTCTGTTTTTTTCTGCAATCACCATAATAAAAATCTCAGGGGCCTCGACTACCAATTGGCAACGTTTTCTGAACATTGTGCAAACGTGTTGCAAGGTTCCTTGGTTACATGTAATATTGCACGGCTGAAGCATACAAATGCAGGAGGCATCAAAACATGTTAATTACGCATCAAGTGAATGCTTTAGAGCCCCACACCTTTCGCTCAACATATTTAATCATCATCGTTAGCGAAAGCATCAACAAGAGAGCCTGTGTACATTCACGTGTTGCTTTGCGGATGCAAAATACAAAATATTTGGTGTGCCTTTTGGGAAGTGACCTCTTTTTTTTCTTAACTACGAGATACAAAGTAAATTAGCATTTCATAATGATCTGGAATCTGAGCTGTGTGCAGTGCAACAAAAATGGATATTCTGAACCCATTAGAAGAAAAGTTGCATACTGAACACTCTTGCGTGAAATCCCAGCTTGAAACTGACTCACTCGAAAATGCTCAGCATGGCATTTTTTGCTCAAGTGGGTTTAGAACATTCATTTTTGTTGCAGTGCCCACAGTTTTGGTTGCAGATTACATTGGTATGCTGATTTACTCTCAAACTCTCAGTTGAGAAAAAAGATTGCTTTCTATAAGGCACATGAAATATTTTGCATATTAGAAACTACTTACTATATTATAAAAATAATTGCATGTTTGAAATCAACCAAATATACATAAACTCACCGAGTTTCATCAAAAGAATGTTCTTCATTTCATCAAAGAAATGAAGAACTTTTTTTTTTTAAAGAAAAATGTCCCCTCTAAACGTTGCTGCGCGGCACAACGGCTTTTTCAGAGGTCCCCTACGGCAAGGTGCCCATCGGCGTGTTCTGGGACATCGAGAACTGTCAGGTGCCGCGGGGCAAGTCGGCCACCGCCCTGGTCGGCCGCATCAGGGACCTCTTCTTCCAGGGCCACGCAGAGGCCGAGTTCTTGTGTGTCTGTGACATCCGCAAGGAACTTCCCGAGGTTGTGCACGAACTCAATCTGGCCCAGGTGACCGTCGTGCACATCAATGCCGTGAGCAAGAACGCCGCCGACGACAAGCTCAAGCAGTGCATGCGACGGTTCGTCGACATCCACGGGAGCCCAGCCACGCTTGTTCTGATATCGGGTCAGTCTCTTGTGCGTGTGCTCCCTGCGATGCCGCTGTGGTGGACGTCCGGCGTGCGTAGTACTCCTACTGCATTTATGATAGTCCCACTTTGTGCTTGGCTTGCATTGCTGTGATACAGAGGGATTTTTTTTTTAGAACTGGACTATTTCGAGCAACTGTAGCTTTGTTACAAACCATCTGATTTCAAGGGGAGTTGCTACTCGAAGACACTTTTTTTTTTTTAATATTCACCCCGGAACTATGAAACTTGAGCTGTTTATAGAACTTAGTATGCTGATTTCAAATATGTAATTAGTTTTCTTGCAAGTTGCATAACTTCCAGCTCTGCGACATGACAAAGTGAAAACCTTAACCCTTTTGCCCCACCTCGTTTCATCGCTAAACTTCCATAATTTTTTACCATTCATGGTTCGTAATGTTTCAAATAAAGTGTGAAATGCAATTAGGAAGCAGATACAAAATATGTAATTGGCATGAAAAATAATAGACGTAAAAAAGTCCATATTTCACCTATCCTGTTGTTAATTTCCTTCTCCTCGACTAGCTAAGGAGGGAAGATGTTTGAGGTTTGGAATGGGTCCCCTCGATGACTCGAGTGCACTGTGGTAGCACAGAGGAAGAGCCGTAATTCGGTGAAGAGACGCCTTATTCCAGCCTCAGGCGCCTGCCTGGGTCGAAGCCCGAACCTGCGCTCTTTCATTTCAGTTTCAAACATCCTCTTTTCAACCCTCAGTTGAACAAAGGGTCTCCACACAAGCCAATCGCACGTGTGGGCTCACATTGCCGCAGGCAATCGCAAAAACACTTTCACAACAAGCACTGCATTGGTAAAAATCACGTAACGAAACACAACATGAGAGGGGATAGGTTCTTCCCGTGTCACACTCTCTCCGATACCAGGCCGACCTCCGTCAATAGCCATTCTCACGCTCGAGCATTGTCAGCTCTCTCATTAAATGTTGCTTCGTAGAAGCCTCCTTAAGAGTGGTGAGTACATCGTTTGGCTCTGTGTGCTTACCAGGTGTGCATGCGACAGCGAGGCGCCCCGTCATCCTAACAAAACTGGGTAACGACGTATAGTGGGGGAGGATAAGCTTGTCTTCGCGCCACAGCCATGGTCAGCCCAGTAGTCGCATCCCCGCGGCATTCTCCAATAAACGTGCATGCCAACAATGACTTAAACTCAGATGGCGGCGCCTGGTCTGCTTCTTGCCAGACGCTCTTCCGAGTAAGCGTTCCCCTTCTAGTCCCAAGCGGGGGTGACCTTGACGGCGCCGCTCGTGAACCGTGTGAACGAAGGAGTCTCCTTTATTTCCTGCGCGCAGGTCTCCCGCGTTCGCCTTTGCGGAACCAATCAGCTTCGTTACTTGACGGGTCGGGAACTGGCTCTGCATCAGCCACATCAATTGTGCTACACACAACATGCCGCTAATGGTTGCCTCATACTAACTCCTAGTAAAAGTTAACATACAATTTTGATTATATAATAAAATACTGAAATTTAAACTAGATAATTGTATTTGTCATGCTTTGGAAAAAATTTGGGCAAAATTTCATGCCGACTCGAGCACTAGAAGTGAAAAAAAAGGGGCACATTGAAAAAAATGGGGAAATTTGTCTTTTGAAACATACGAGTTTTAAATTTAAAATTGAGTTTTTATTTATGAGAGGTGTCATCAAATACAATGAAATTTGCACACGAAAAGGAACAGTTTTTCTTGTAGTGGCCACTGCCACTAAAATATGCCAGCACCATGAGTTTGTCCCTCTCGGCTTTTCCGAGTCGACTCCTCATAGACATTTCACTCGCAGACAGGGCCACGAAACTCTTGCCAAACTTCTTCCACTCTATTTGGCAGAGCCTTGTGCTGTTTGCAAGCTAGGAAAAAGTTCAACAGGACTGCGAAATCTAAACTAAGTCCAGTGTCGAGGGACACAACAGTGCCAGTGTCATTTTGCGGCCACATTTGTGCCACGTACTGTCATACATAATGGCAATGTCGTCCCCTCTAAGTTCCTCCGACCTCGCAAGCTTGGCGCTGACGTCATTCATTGCCGCATCACGAACTTTCCGGCTGATGGCTGTGCATGACTTTTGATGCATTGGCTTTTGCAAGCCAACCACTGCCACAAATCGGACCAGCTGCTCATAGCATACTCCTACAGAGCGTGCCGCCGCAACGGCTTTCACGCGCAAGCAATGGCTTTTTTTCATTCATAATGGAGATAAATACATGAGAAAAGCATTGTTCAGCTGCACTGCTCATCAAGACATGAACCCCGCAAGTAGGCTTCACAGCACATGCAGGCACGCAGCGACCAATGGCGGTTCCCGATCCGTACCACATGATAAGCCAGTCGCGGCGTTCGAAAAACGTGCAAAAGCTTGCTTCTTATCATTCCTTGCGCCTCATAAGGGAGAAAAACTGTCGTTATTTGAACAGTGAGGCTCGCCTCATTCGATCCACAATGGGGAGTGGCGGCGTATTATCGGCAGCAAGGTGCTCGAAGACTGCACACTTTCGGCCTTTAAACAAGCACCTTGCACTCTTTACACAATACTTTAAAGCATTTCCAGTCAAGTCCTGACATGCTTTTTTTTTAACAGTAGAGGTACCAATTTTATCAAAACAGGCTAAAATAAAAAAATTGGTAATATTGAAGAAAACTCGCGTTTTTCGACCTGCATCTCCCCTTAATACTGTTTGTGGCAAAAGATTCAAAAAAGATCAAAATTCAGTAGCCCATTTGTTTATTGATGTGTGAAGTCAAAGAAGAAACAAAAAGAGTACATTTCAAATAACTAGAACCATGGCATTTTGCAGTACTCTCTACATGAGGGTCTCCACACAGTCGAAATCGGAACAATTTGACATTTTGGGTGGTCGTTTCAGCATCTGCTTTAGGGTAGGATATTACAGCTTTACAAACCTTCATTAGTCATTTTTTTTTTCTGTGCCACATGGCAATCGAAGTTTTGAATGCTTTATATGCAAAAGTCAACACTACGTGTGTAAAACTTCATTTCTTTCTGTTATTCCTCCATTGCACATGAAAAACCCAATTGGTGATTGAATTTTCATTCTTCCTGAAAGTTTTCCCGCTAGCCCCATTAAAATTGGATACTTTGTAACAAAACTACAGCCCAATAGAATAGTTTAGTTCTTAAAGAACCATCTTGTGTATGGGTAAATGAAGTGAAGCTGCATTATCGCAAATGCAGACAACTATCGGAAAGCACAATTCATTGTATATATACATAGTTTTTATTGACGTCTTAGGGCCCCCAGCTGGTTGAGATGCCACGTGAGCTCAAACGGTGAAATCAGATTAGCACCAGTTCCCCTCACGTTCCTTTGTGTTTTCCCTTGGTGCCGCTCACAAACAGAAAAAAGTAGCAATATCACTAATGTAGACTTGTTCGAATATTCAAACGAATGGTATAGTATTCGAATCCACTTCAACTAGAATTTAAATTATTGAAAATTTTGAAGTATTCGCAATGAACGAATAAATGTATATTAATCCTCATGTAGTTGCGTGTAAAGGTGGTTTTACTGCAGTTCAGGGGTGCTAAACCGTGAAAGCACCTGTCCAGGGGAAACCCGCTCTGCTGCGAAGCCTCCTTCAAATTTAAAGGGTCCTTGCCACACTTATTGAGCATGGTCAGAAAACGCTGCCGCTCGGTAGACGAGGCTACCGAGAACACGGGATATTTTAGCGCAGCAGGTGGCCTTCAATTAACAACAAACTTTCAGTTGTCAACTAAAAATCGCTTTTCTGTGGACTAATGTCACTACAAGCTCACAAATCACTTGTCACAGCATTGGTCGGCTTGAGCACGGCGCTCGGTCGGTACTGGGGCCGCCGCGGGAGGCCGCCACTTGTCCGCGCATATGTGCACGATCACACTGAAAGGCCGCATATTCGAAGAAAAAATAAAAGAGAAAAAAGTGCTCAGTCACGAGATGCGGGTGACGTTTTTCCTTTCCCCGTGCCATCCCTCTTTGCATAGCTTTTAGTTCGCTCGTTGGGACGAGAAGAGAGAATGCAATTGCAGCGTGCAACAAATATTTGTCCTCTCGTATGGACTGATTATAAAAATTTTATGGCAGTGAATTCACCGCCATAAAACTAATGTATTACCCTCAAATCAATTTATCATTTTATTAAGCTTAAATGCTCCTTATCATGGCTTATGTGCTCTAAGTGTAGTAAGTTTTAAAATGTTACGTATTTTACAGGTTATCATTCGCATTCTACCGAAACTCAAATCGCGCAACTACTGAGGGTTGTTTCGACTTCCTTAGAACGAAAAAAAATATGTAATAATGACATTCGCATAGAGGCCTGATTTTAATTTTTAAAGAATATTGTGAAGGTTAGTTAGGTTATGATAAATATTCCCATTTTTTTATATGTCATACATACCATTCGAATTCAATATGAAATTATTCGACCAAAATTACTATTCGCTTCGAATTCGCTTCGAACCTAGAATTCACTAGTCGGACAAGCCTACACTAAAGAACGTGGGTGCCAAACGACTCCATGTCCTACTCAGCACTCACATTCTCTAGCGAGATAAAAAGTCATGGTTGCTTCCATCTTAGGGTACCCTTGGCAAAAACAGAGAGTGCGTTGGCTTGGCACTCACGTCACGCTTGGACAGCCTTATGGCAATGAGGGTAACGAAGTTTCAGTCTAGTCGAAAACAGTGAAGTCTCAAGGTGAAGTCATATTGCAAACAAAGTCGCAAGAAATGAATATTGCAGCATCTACAGCACTCTTATGCAAAGTAAGTACAGGATTTACTATTTGTCAGTAATGTGAAAGAGTATTGTCGTAGTAGGCATCGGTTTATTTTTTCTTGATTCTTCAGATAATTTCGTTTACTTGGACACTTTTTCCAGTCTCGTGAAATCCGAACCAACAATCTTTTACTGTATTTGGTAAAGGTGCACCAGCAGCAAGAAGTATTGCTGAAAAACTAGTGGCAGGAAATGACGAAACGAACAAGAAGATCTATGCTGCCCGCATTCACTTAGCCAAGTACAAGCAAATAGTTGGCACTGTTGACATCTTAGTGGCGAGTGTACTTTTATGCAGGCACACGATTGGTGATTGTTTCAAGTCACATTCAAACCAGTTGCAAACTCCTTTTGTTTGTGTTATTGCAGGAGACGTCAACTTTTCGACGGACCTGTCGGACTTCCGGCATCGTCGGCAAATCCGCGTGGTGCTGCTTCACGGGGGCTCAGCACCAGAGGCCCTAACTGCCTGCGCACACGAGTCGCACAGCTTTGTGAAAGTTGCGTCCGGGTTGCCCCCCCGCTCCGCGCGCCGTAATGTGAGTGCAGCAACTGTTTTAGTGTGTTCTGTGTTAGGTCTTGGTTTGTTGTAGTATTTGTGTTCATTGTTATTGTTGTCGCGGGGGCGATTGAACCGACCCGTCAAGTAGACTCGTGCTGTGCGGTCTTCATTATTATTCATTATTAACAGTGCATGTGCCGCTGGATTTGGGAGGCATCTAGTGATGCAAAGTGAGCTTGCCTGAAAAAAAAAAAACACAAAATGGTGCAGATGCGACATCCGTACTAGGCCCGGTTGTTTATTTATTGAGTTAAATACCTCAGATGTCTCATCAAAGTGTGAAAATGAACTGTTCGCATCAACATGAGTGTGGCAAGAAATCGTCACATGGGGATGTTAACGCGATAGCACAAAATGCGACTGCACCTGACGCTTGGACATCGTCGCTTGGTCGAAAGTGGGCCAATGGCAAAGGCAGTGTGAAGCCAGGTGTGGTGCAGAAACCATCTTTCAGAAAAGCTCAAAGAAGCACCGCTTCTCGGCACGTGTTTGCTCTGTTGTACTCTGTAATCTACTACCTCGCAGTTTTGTGCTAAAACCATGCCGTGTCTTTTTCTATGCCTTGTTGTCATTGTCACGAGGCTCGTGTGAATATTTGGATATTAGAATGAATATTACTGCATTCGAGTTCACTTCAATTCAAATTCAAATTCTTGAAAATTTTGAAGTATTCAAGATGAAAGAATAGGTATATGTTAGTCTGCAGCTATACCATTTTATAGATGTTTTCACTGCTCTGGAAGAGTGCTTATTCATGAAAGCACCTGTCCAGGGAAAATCCTCAGCGCCACGAAGCTCCACTTCAAGGTTAAGTGAACTTATTAGGCATCACATCAGTTCATGAATTTTGAACTTGAAAAGCTTGTTATACTGGCTCACATGTTCGAAGTACACTCAAACCTCAATATAACGAACCCAGATACAACAAATTACGGGTGATAATGTAGGAAATTAAAAATTATCTTGCAATAGATATAGTTTTAGAAGTAAACCTTTATAACAAACTTCAGGATGTGACGAACTTATTTTTGTGTAAGATGCAACTTTTTTATTATGATGTTTGAGTGTATAGTAAATTTCAAGGCATTATTTTACAGCTTATTACTCACATTCTGCCAAAAGTCGAATCCTGCTACTATTTGAGGTTCTTTTTTTTTTTTTTGGAATAACGAAAGAAAATGGCATTTGTGCAGGCCTTGTCTAAATTTTTTAAAATAGTGTGCAGGTTATCTAGGCCATGACAAATATGCCCATTTTTCTTCGCAATATGTGATATACAGTTGAAGCATTTTATAAGGGACAGGCTTCGGACACCAATTCTTGTCTTTTATAGTATGTGTTTCTCAAAAGCAGGGTACCACATATTTATTTTCTTATCAACACCTCTTTCAATATAGGCACATTAGGGTCTTTTATATCAGTGCCTCCTATAAAGGGGCTCAACTGTATACCATTGGAATTCGGTTCGAACGTGAAATTCATTATTCACACGAGGCCACTTGTCACGCCTTTTCATGCAACGAGGCTTTGCTGATGAACTCGACTGATGCGTTACTCAAATGCAGGAAGTTCATTGTCTCGAGCTGATGGTGACCAATTTGCCGGCGGCCAAGTCACCGCACAAGATAAAAAACCGGCTGATGCAGCTGTCCGAGAACTGTGGAGGACGCGTAAGCTCCATCAGCGGGGCAACGGCTGTGCTCAAGTATCCCACCATGAACGCTGCCCTCCGGTGAGCTTCGATAACGATGCTTCCAGTTCGCTAGGAAAACTCGAAGAGCATTTTCATTTCACTGGGGGAATGTTCGTCTGTTTCAAGCATTTGAACAAGTGTACGGTTTTCTCTTTGTGATGTCGCAAAGTTGAATCTGTAATGTGGAGCTCAAGTCATGCTGCGATTGGTTGAGAAAAAACCTATGACTTCTGGTTATATTGCAACCAGCTGTCCATGCTCCTTGTCATTCGTCGCATTGCGGTGGCGGTAGCTCCTCATTTCATGCGGAGCTGCTGTGGCACGGCGTGTCAATGTATGAATCCATCATGCTGGCCATCCTTTGGGGGCATGTGCAAAACACGGGGTCTATACCAGCACGATTCGTAGGAGCACGAAGCTGACGGAATCACGGCAACCAGAAGTAGGCTGTGTCAAACAGCGCTAGCTAGCCAACCCTGACAACACGTCGGCAATGACATGTGTCAGCTGATATCGGGAGGGGCACTCGATGAGGAGGACAAATTGGCTTTAGGAAAAAAGGCAAACACAACTACCCGTCTTTGAGGCTACACAACTAGCCACTGAAAGCCAAACGCAAGTAAGCCAACTAAAATTCAACATGGCAGCTTTCAAAATCTGGTGGCTTGGCTCAAAGCGAGCGATTTAGTCTTGAAAATCGAGAGCCATAGGCCATAAATTTGTACGAGAAATTGGTCTGTGAAAATGCATTAGTGCTATGGTAACATTGATGATGCGCTTGTGAAGTCCGAAATATTCAACAAGTTTAAAACCTTGGAGTCTGAAAAATCTGTCTGCAACTGTAAAAGCTTTAGTGTACACTCAAACCTCGATATAGTGAACCCGGATATAACGAAGTTATTGTAGACAGGTTAGTTTTCACCTGATGTTTTTGAAGAAAGAAACTATGTAAAAACTATGTCACTTCAAGGAATTTGTAAAAGAGGTATCATGTACCACGTGTCTGCAACAACGATCTTGTTCCTTCCTGGTTCATCTTGGCCCCACCGGATGGCACCACTGATACACCCTCTCTGTGACCTTGGGCCTCTCATGTTTATAGCTTCGATGTTCTAAGTCACTCTAGTCTTGGTAATACGGCTCAAACAACACCGTCATACTTGCCTTTCACACTTCGGGTTAATTTGGCTTGGCGGCTGGAGTCTTTGTAAAATGGATATTGTGAGTAGCCACAAATGAAGGCGTGTTCACGAGTAATGTTCGCAAACATAAAACGTATCTGACGAGTAGGTTACGTTTCTTGAAAGCCAGTGTACGGTCCTCAAGACGAAGATGGGGGGCGAATACTGCTGAAAATGTGATTTTTAAATTTTTATGCCACAATATTCCAGCATTACTGACAGGCGCTTCTGCGAAGTGGCCAGTTTTTATTTGAAGTGGAAAACATTATATTTTTAACTCGGCCATAGTCATGCCTAGACTCATTATTTTGGTTCAGAAGGATACTCTGGGCAGATGTAACAACCAGAAGAGATTTCATCAGTCTACATGCAAAATATTTTTCACAAATGTTTTTCAAAAATGAAAAAGTCAAATAATTTATTTTTTGATATTTTCAGACTGGCTATGTAGTTTCTTGCCAAATTCATAAAACATATACTGAAATCCCCATTCAAGCAACTTGGAAAATTTTATAAAGTTTGCTTCAAAAATAACAGAGCTATGGGCAGTAGTAGTTGCACACCTGTGTGTGTGCTATCAATCGCCCCTTAAAAGTGCACGATACGGTACCCTGAAATATATACGGACAACTTGAACTGGTATGGCGCATTACGGTGAATGGCCGAGCAGGCCGACACAGTAAAGAAGAAATGACCGACCAACCATTTCTTCTTTACTGTAATGCGCTATATCACTTCAAGTACGACGAATCAGCTCGCCCAGTCTTTATGACTTGTATGATTAGACACAAGATCAACACTTGGAGGATGATTAGGCACAAGTGTCTAATCATCCCTAATTAGTCAATTGGAATCAGCTCGTCCAGTCTTTAGCACTTGTATGATTAGACGCAAGATCGACATTTGGAGGTGATTAGACGCAAGTGTCTAACCATCCCTAATTAGTCAGTTGGTCTTCTCTCAGAACGTCGGCGTCTGTTGTCCCATGCAGGTCACGCAGGCGCATGGAAGGTGAAAACGTCTGCGGGAATGCAATTTCTGTGAGCCTGCACAAACCGCGCCGGCGCCAGTCGCGGAGCGATCAGACCGGAGCCACGCGAAGCAGCAGTAGCAGCAGCCGAAGCCCAGAGTCGTCATCAGTTGAGGCGGACAACTATTACTGGCCGTCACAGCATTTCAAAGACAGGTGAGTGGTTCTTTGGCAATTTCATCATCCCGAGATGACTTTTTGGAGGCGCCGGTCAATTTTCGCGTTTGGTGAGGCATCTAAGATTTTCGCCTTAGAATCTGGCATAAATACACTGTGCAGTAAAACAAGATTGAATGTTCCAAGCTCTTTAAAACAAGGTCATGGTACGTTGAAGATCTGGGATGGAAATCTCTGCTTGGCATCGACACGCTCGCGAATGCTGAGAAGGGCTTAGGACATCCCATCTTGTTTTCACTGCAGGCTTTTATCAGTCCAGATTATTGTGTTATGTTGATTTGCTTTATCAATCCTATAGTTTTAGAAGGAGATCTTGCTCCTAGCAATGCCAAAAAAAAGTAATCGCTTACTCGATGTCAGCCCATAAAAACTCATAAACTTCGCGTGATAGTTTGAAAAAAAAAATTGGGGCAGCTATGCAATAGTGGTGCAAAGGTTAAAGAAATGGCAGAAATGATTGATGGCCATTCTCTCCTCCTTTTTGTCCTCCCTGCATCACTTCTCGCCCTCATTTTCCTTTCTCACCACCTTGCCTACGCTCCAGCCTCGATATAACGAAATATCGCTTATAACGAAGTAAATTAAGAATAGTATTACAGTAGATATATTGTTATACATAGTAGACATAACTAAATGGATGTTCTAAACCTACTAGAAGAAAAGTTGTGGAATGCTCAACACTTTCCAGTGACATCCCAGCTTGAAGTCGACTCACTCTAAATGTTCAACGAACCGTAACTATTGTTCAAATTGATTTAGAACATCCATTTTTCTTGCTTTGCACGCAGTCTTGATTTCATATTAATGTGACATGCCAATTTTCTTTGTAGCTTTCTCAATTTCAAAAGTCTTGCTCCCCAAAAGGCACATGAAATACATTGTATTTTAAAAACTATACCTTATACCTTATACAGTCGCCGACCGATTTTCCGGACTCCAAAAATTCGGACTTGTTGGATATTCCGGACTTCATAAATGCACCGTCAGGGATCCCATAGAGCTAATGCATTGTTTCGACCGATTTTTCGGGCGAATTTGCCCCTGAAAGTTGATTTTTCGGACTAAATCGCCCACGCCCCAAGCCATTGTGAACGCCGCCATGTTGGATTTTCCGTCGGCTTGGCTAAGCTTGGTCTTCAGATGCCTTTCGTGCCTCCGAGATTGGAATGCGCACGCCATATTTTAAGTTTCGGAGGCCGTGTTTGCTTTTTAAAAGACGCGGTGATGGATGCCGTTTTTTCGTCTTCGGTCAGCACTATCGTCATCACTATCGTCATCACATCGCACGGGGAGGAGGCGAAAGAAGGATTCTTTTATCGTCGTTGCAGCTTTTTTCAGTCGCCATTCTGCACGTGTTAAGTCGCGTAGCGTCGAGACGTTGTGTGCTTCGCAGCGGCTATCTGCGGCATCGAATTTTGTGTTCTCGCCATGGCTCCGCCATCTGTGCCATCGCGGGAGCCGGTGGTGTGAAGAAGCGTGGGAAGTATACGACCCTGACGATGGAGAAGAAAGCTGCCATAATCAAGCTAATAGAGAGTGGACGTTCGCAGCTAGATGTCGCCGGATGACGGTCGACGCCGGATGGCGGTCGTCGGCGGCGGAGATCGCCAACGCGGTGACAATTTTGTTGAGCGTTTACGGCGACGATGTCACCTAGGCGCAAATACGGGCAAACCAAATTGCCTCCAAGCGTGGTTTGAGGCAAGGCAGCATCAAGGACTTTTTTAAACCTGCCTGATGCAATAAACTTCAGATTTTTGGCGAAAACGAATTTTTCGGACTGTTCGATTTTTCGTACTTTTTTTCGGTCCCCGCCAGGTCCGAAAAATCGGTCGGCGACTGTACAAGAAAAATAATTGCATATTTAAAATCAGCACGCATATATACATAAGCTCGCCAAGTTTTATCAAAGTCAATCAAGAAATAAAAATTTTTTTAATGAGCTGTGTTTCCCTTAAATAATTTGCTCAAAAACAAAGAAAACAAATTTTTGAAGCAAGAGTCTCCACCCAAGTCTGTGTTGCACACTGATGCAGATTCTCCGTTGTGGACGTGGGGAGCCTTGAAGATCGCAGGCCCTCTCTGGCTGGGCCGGAGGCAGCCGTCGGGTACAGGAGGCCAAAAAATGTAGGACACGTGTCACCTTCTTTGCGGAGTAGCAGTCAGGTAAGGCTCGCACTCATTCCAGATTGATCGGTGACTACGGTGTCATTCGAGTTTTGTGCACTTGCAAGAAAGTACGAACTTGGGCTCCTTAGTGACCGCGATACGCTGCGTTGAAATAGAATGAGAGGCGAGAAAAAATATAATAATGAATGTGTGTTACTGGAACAAATGCAAGTCTGAAACATTATCTATTATGTTGCTCTGAAATTTCATTATTTCTTTTAAAAAGATTTTCCATCTAAATATGTTTTTCTCAAATTTCAATATTGAATGTCTTGCTTCCAAAGCAAGTTCCGATTGATGAAAAAAATATGAAGTGTATATTAGATTAAATCAGCACAAGATTTATGGTCCCATTAGCGTCTCTCATAGTTCACAAGATGATGCTATCATTGAGAAACTACCATATATGACACAAGTTATCGAAGTAAATTTTGGTATATGAAAAAGTCGCAGGCTTTTTTTTTTAGTTTTTAGTATATAGATACATATACAGATATGGTGAATGGTGCCGGCAGTGTTGGCAAAAACCAGCCAAAACTGTCCGTATATTTGCTATCGCAATAATAATTATTGCCTGAAGAACTGTACTATAATGAAAGCCATCTTTTTCGTGACTATGCATGAGTTACACGTCGCCTTCACCAAGCAACATTTGCTAAACGCAAGACGCGAAAAAATTTGAAATGTCGGTTAAGGGAGGACATCGTGTGTGGAGATATTTTCTGTATTTTTGGACCAAACATGATGAAAATATACATGCTTATGTAGTTTTTCCTGCTAATTTCTAATATGTAAAAATGTTCATTGTAGGTCAATTAATTTAGAAACAATACTGCCACTATCGTTTTCGGGGACAATAGAAAAGAAAGTGCTTATCAAAAAGTAAATATTATTGCATAGCTAGACAGTGTAATTAGCAATAAGTACAATGCTGCAAGCAGATTTCAAATCAAAGAAAAACAAGTGATTCTGCAGATGATGAAAGTTGTGGAGTCAGTTGTGGAGTCATGACATGGCTATCACATAAAAAGAAATTTAATACCTTCTGGGCAGCAAATGGAAATTCTGCTCTCAGCACTTCGTAATACACAGATTGGGCTTTACATTAATGAAAAAATTATTGCTCTAGCTGTTCTAGATTGCAAGAGATCAACCCGACAAACTAGCAAAGTCACCAGAAAGCATGTTTTCAGAAAACTGAGAAAAAGCAATAAAACTCGTTCATTTACATAACTGCACTTGAAAATGCTCAGTATGCACCGGGCATGTAGTCCTTTTGACTATGAGTCCCTGTGGGGTGGTTTTTCAGGGACTGGTGCATGCTCTCTGTTGCTTGTCGCTTCTTGACTGATGCTGCCGTGCGCCGTCGATCCTTTTCAGCCATGCGGCTGCGGCTTTGCCAGCTGGGGTTTAGGCTCAGCTCTTTTTAATGTCCTCTGATGCCTTTTTATTGCCTGCATTGAATTTGAGCACTGCTTCTGCCACAGCTGCCTGCACCGTGAATAGCGAAGCATGTCGCTCCTTTGGTGCCAGCGCCCAGATCATTGAATGCAGGCATTCGTTATTATTTTGGGTTTTCCCTCGCTGGCATTGTTGCAACAGCTTTCTGTCTGACAAGCGCTCATAAATGGGAAGTAAGGCTTGGCAGACATGTGGAGGCAGCTTTCAACAATGTTTGCGAATGGGCTCCCCCTTGGCTTTTGCCGCATTTTGTTTGCACCAGGAATTTAGACCAGGTGGGCACAGAGTGTGGTTTGCCACGTCATCATTGGACGTGATTCGATGATAAGTGGCCATCACTGCTGTGTGCATAGCATCAACATCGCCACTGTGTGTCTTCAGAGCCCACCCATAATAATTGGTGAGCTTGGAGATCAGGTCTCCTGTCAAGTGGCCCTTTCCCCGAAGACTCTCATGGCCAGGGCCTTTGTGTTTTGCAATCAAGTTGCGCAAAGCAGTGCCCATACGCTTTTGGACATGATTAATGCTGTCCTCTTTTTCCACTGAAATATACCCATAAACCTTATCTTCTTGTAACGCAAGGTAACTGCGGCTGTTCCCGTCTCAGAGCACCGTGGTGTAGCGCAGGTTGTGCCGCTCAAGTGACCTCCTGAAGAGGATGAGGGCAGCCTCACCCTCCATTTCCCCAGCCTTCTTGTCACTGTTTTTCTGACACTGGTGATGTTCCTTCCACGCTGCATAGGAAGGCTCACCTTCCTTTGGGCCCGACTCGCATCCAGCGCAAAAGTTGCTCAAAACAACGAAGCCAAGCACCAGCCTGCTGAACAATTTTATGACGGTGTGGAGACAGATATGCGACGAATGACCACGAGTCATTAAACTGTGAAGCGACACACCAACTATCCGGGAAAGAAGCGAGTCTCGTTCTAAACACTTGTAAGGAGATATCATCTCAAGCAGACAAGCTACACTGCAGTTGTCAGCTGCACGTGCAACCAAACCATTCCGGCTAAGTTTCAGCGGCTTGAAACTTTGGTAAAAGACAACAGCTGAGCTTAACACACTCAAACCTTATTGTAACAAAGTTGCATCTTACACGAAACGCGGGACTCGCTCGCTGGATTTCGTGTCAGCCGGTTGTGCCCCCGTAATCTCAGACGCCAGCGCAGCTCTGGCCGACTGGCTCGCCCTACGCCACCTCCTGACGCTGACAAGAGCTCTCGCTGAGTGGTGCTCCGCGCTCGGGCTTCTGCGACCGAGTCCATCTTTCCTGTCTCCTTAGTTCTGTATGTGTCTGTCGCTGTGCCTCTCTCTCTCCTGCTCCTCTCTGTATCTCTATACCTTTAATTCCTCTTTACCCCCATTCCTCGTGAGCTACTGTTGAGATGTCCTCCCCCTGAGAGACAATTACGGGGCTCACTTTTATCTTCTTTTCATTTAAGGGAGGAGGCTACCATCGGATACCAACTTTTTTGTTTATTGAGATATCTTAATAAAATTTTCAGGCTAGACTTATAGCAAAAGCATTAGAAGAACTACAAAATTTCATCAAGTTATGTTCACTGGTTTTCAAGTTACAGCAGAATATCAGGGTAGTGCACATGGTTCTCTTATTCCAGGCCTGGAGAACTTTCAAAAGGTGCTGGAACTGTGAAATTAACTATGATGATTCCCAGATTGATACTCCAGGGGGTAACAGAGCCTTTTTTTTGAATTTCCTTGCTGAAAAGTTTTAGCAGACCATCAAACTTTGTGTTCGTGATTAGGATATTATCAATCAAATTTTGATTAAATATAATAAATAACACACACAATATATTGAAAAAATGGGCTTGTCACCCCCTCAGAAATTTATTCATGTACATAATAAAAAAAGACTTATGGAAATCCAATGAGTGGTTCCAGAGATATGGCTGGAATAAGCAGCCTCACTAGCCAAAAAAGTCATTTTGAGAAAACGACGTTTGAAAGTTTTGAGCACATAGGCAGTTCTAAAATGAACCTGCAGCGTAACTGGAGGTGTCCTTTGGCACTCTCTTTCTTTGCCGCCTTTCTATCTTCTCTAGGGATCGCTTCTTAGCCTTTTTCAAGCGCAGAGAATCTTTCTCAGCTGCCCGTTGAATGGCCAGGTGGCCAGCTGTTAGCCCCAAGTTCTCTTTGCACAGCAGCGCGTTGTTGATCCGCCGCCTCTTTCTCCTCGCACGCCAGGAAACTTGTTCGCAAATGCACAGTTGACGACGCGATCTCACTCGAGGCCGATGAAAGAGAAGATGCGGAAGCTACTGTCAATGAGCACGAGACACCAGGCACACTTGTAACGACAAATTCTTGCACCGGCGGAGCAGGAGTCCCGTTGCTAGGCGCGTCGATGCGACCACTCTCTTGCGTAGATGAAGCAGAAGCTGCCCCACAGGTACCGTCGGCGTGATCACCGTCGACGCACGTGCGAGCGGAGAGCCTCGCCGCGCGGACAAGCTTCATAGCTCGCTTCCTTGCACCGAACGATTGTAGCGTCTTCTTTTTCGTTGGGCGCATCGTGAGCGAACACAACAACGGTCTCGTATAGACGGTTGAAAATCGTCTCGTAAAGACGGTTGAAAATCGTTTCGAAGACAGTTGAAACGTAGAGAGTATGCGAACGGCTGCAACGATACACGGAAGCGAGCGGAACACAAAGACGCCGGACGGAGGAGCAGCAGACGAGCGGCCGCATCGGCCGCATTATGCGCAAGAGCGCTACGTCATCGCGCGCAGAAGCCAATGGCAGTCGCGGGCTCCCCCGCGTCCTTGGGGAGCGCGCGCTTCGCCCAATCCCAGCTACGCGCCTCAGCCGCGGGAAACTTGAAAGCTCTCGCGAGCCCTCCAATCATGAGCGGCTTGCTCCTCTCCTGCGCTGCCGCCGGCGATGCAGGTGGCGGGGAAAGAAAGAGCAAGAATTCACAAACAAAACAACACCAATATGGCAGTCTCCGTCGAGCGGTCGAGAAACTGCGATCACGCCAAGTTGGGGTATTTTGAGCGCTCGTGCGCCGCTCGAGGGCCGCCGCGGCATGTTCTAAACTTTATTTCAAATGGTTACACGATGAATTAGACGTTGATATTTACAGAAAAGGTAGTTTATGACACATACTGCCCGAATATGTGGTTTGCCAAAAATCGACTTTTTCGCGATTTTTCGGTTTTCAAAGGCCGCGTCCCCCCTTAAGGACCATCTCTCCCCCCCCTTAAACAAAAATAGGTTCATTATATCCAAGAATTTTAATGAAGGTACATTCATACCACTATATCTATCGCAAGACTTCTTTTTCATTTACTTTGTTATAAGCAATATTTCAATATGTCTGGTTCATTATATCGAGATTTGAGCGTATAGGAAATGAATGACAGTATGAACTCCCGGCTTTTTAAAGATGCACTCAAACGTCGATATAACAAACCTGGGCATAACGAAATATTGGTTATAACGAAGTAAATGAGTACTTTTTCAACAAACATATTGCTAGAAATATACATTTAGAGCAAATTATTGAATACAACAAACTTATTTTTGTGTAAGATGCATCTTCGTTATAGTGAGGTTTGAATGTATTCCATTACAACTGAAGTGTTTCACCAAATGTGCCAAAGTATTACCAGCTTGCTTGTGAACGCGCTAGGTTTAACCCGCGAAAAATGGGATTGCGATTGAAATTTGGTTGTCATGGCCAATTGTTTTGGCAAGTGCTTTTGGCGCATAACCTCCGTGCGAGCATTCGCTCAACTAGGTTAAGTAGAATCGCGTGTCTCCCCTCATTCTTTGCAGCCAGGGGTTTCAAGCGTCTGCCACTACAATGGTGCGCAAGTCGCAGACCCCGTTTCGGCACAGCCACCAAGCACTTCCTCCCGCAACCGTTCGTGCTCTCCGACCAAGAGCGCCAACCCACTTCTGTTCCGTAACCTTCCCGGAATCTGCGCGGGTCTGTCGGGTGGACGCCTTCCGTTCCTCGGCCGTGTGGACGCCGTTTCCCAGCAGGGGCATCAAAACGCAACTGTTCCTGGTAGCAGCGTGCCCTTAGAAGAGCAACTACAAAATGTTTCGCTGAAGGAACACAGCGGCACTGCGACTTGCGTCCGTGTGACAAATTTCGACCCCAGCCTTGACATGAAGGTCGTCAAGAGGATGCTCGTTGCGGTGTTTCAAGAGAAGGGGTTGACAGTAAGCTGCATCTTTTATGTCCTTTCCTTGTTTTTTATGCAAAGCGTTTGTAATTTTTATCGTACTTATTTAAATATAGGTCGACCTTTTTTTTTCCGCAAATGTTGTTCATAACCAGCTATCGACCTATATTCGTGACCAAAGAATCTCGAAGTATATTCATGATCATACCAACCAAAAGCGTCGAGCTTGTGGTGTTCAACTGCCACGCCCTCTGTTCTTTAAGCGGTTCTTGCTGCATATGCAAGTTATGTACAATAATATCTGAAATGAAGACCCCCCCCCCCCCCTCCTTTCCGACTACCTAAGTAATTGAGAAAAAAGTCATTTATGCAATAACCGCGTACCGCCTTTTCAATGCTCCCACGAAACACAGCCGCTCCGGAATGTTTGTGTTGAAATCCACGATTTCCCTCGGTATAGGTCGTGAAGTCCCTAGCCCGTTAGTGGTGCTTCTGGTACTGCTTTTCGGCGCGCAGCTGCACTGGCACTGGCCTGAGGCCTCGCCCTTTGTTCATTGTACGATCGGCGTGACAGGGTGACGGTTCGCATTTGCTTTAGGTGCTGCGCCGGGCTCTCTACGGGGCTGCAGAAATTAGCTGCCTCCTTCTTTTAACCACCACTACCATTTGCTTGTGCGTGGTTGCGACTATGTCTTGTCGGCAGAGCTGCACAGGTGACTTTTTGCCAAGGACTCCAGCAATGATGCTGGGCAGCATGAGTTCTGTGCGAGAAGTTGAGTGGGGGTACGCGAAAGCAGCGGGACCATCTGTTTGCGTGCAACGTACGGCATCATGCTTTTCGCGGCCCAATCATCGGTAGCAATGGCAGCAAGGATGACGTCGTTTGGGAAGCCGCCGATGCTTGCGAAGAATAGGATGAAGAGAACGTAATGCACATCTCACAAGGTGACGACCCCGGCAGGGATTGGGGCACTAAGTGATGCAAATAGAGGTGCTCTACGTTTCAATTTTTGTTTTAAAAAAAACTCGTGGGCCGACCTATATTCGTAGCCAACCTATTTTTGAGTAAATACGGTAGATTGTAGCATCGTATCTGAAAGACTTGGCGTAGAAGAGTGTGCAGAAGTTTGGCTTCCAAAAGTGTTCCAGACACACGCTACTCTCAAACCTCATTATGACAAACTCGCATCTGCCATGAAAATACTTCATTATATCCATAAGTTTGTTATAAATGATTGTTTGTAACACTGTATCTGTGGCAAAGCTATTCATCACTTACTTCATTGCAATCAATAACTTGCTATATCCAAATTTGTTATATCGAAATTTGAGTGTATTTGTATGTGCCGTTATCCTATGACCAATGCTCTTTGGATTGTGCACAAAGGCTTGTCTATCAATGCATCTTCTTCCTTTCCTCCCACGTTGTTTTGGTGGAGTGGTGTTACAGTAGCAAGGTCAGAATTTCGTGCGTGATCACTGTCCACCAGTGATGTAAGCCAATTCTGCAGTTTTATCAGTGTAGAATAACAAGACGCAGAAAGCACACTAGACTGATGACAAACGTCAGCATCAACTGCAGATGTCATTCTGTAGAGCCGTGCAGACAGGACTTGACTAGTTTTTAGGTTGCTATGACGTTGAGTATGTATGAATGAAAGAAGATAATTTGGAGTGCTCATTTCTTTGTTTTACAACCTTAGCAGAAACCAACAGATTATAAAGCTAAGGAGGGTATAGGGGGACATTAATTTTACAGTTTTTAAGTATATTGCAATTATAATATGTGATGTAGATTTGATGATGAGATGATGTAGATGTGAAACAAGGAAAGTGGATGAAAAGACTCCATGCCATCAGCACGAACTCAACTTGCAATCTTCAGACCAATGTCTTACGTCAGCTTGGCGCGGTCTTACGTATGTGCTGTCTTACGTAAACTTGGCGGATTTTAGTGGTTATTGATCTCCAGGCCACAAACGCAAACTTTGCATCCGGCACGCTGTTCTTGGTTCAGCGCTTGAGTGCGATCTTTTCAACGGCCAGTCCTCGTTTTTTGGAGAAACTTCCTGCGACAAACGAATGGCAGGCTAAGCCTGATAGGCTGCATTTAGGTAGCGGTCGGGTGCTATGCTCGGTCGGCACGAAATCGACGAAACTCTTTGCGGTGGCTGCACTTGACAGGAAGGGATACACAACGTTATGACAAGGTTTACTTTCTCCCTCTCTCTGCTAGGTCCTGAATGTCACCGTGAATCTCCAACAAGACGGCAACGTCGAGGCATTTGTGTATGTGCCCAGTGCTCCGGAGGCCGTACGAGCCTTTCATCTCATACATCAGCGCCGTGTCGGTCTCTACTGTCTCCACCTCAGTGTCGACGAAGAGGTCCAGGCAGGGGTACGTTACTGGATTTTGGGTTTTCGAGTAGCCGTCGCATATGTGGTGGAAACTGCTATTGCCGCCAGCAAAAATAGGATATTGCCAGCAAAAAAGTAATGCCACCGGTTCGAACGAACTGGAACAGAAAAGAAAAAGGAATAACGCAGCTTTCCACAAAGTGTAACGAAACTGTGGAGCTTGGCAGTTTTACTTTTTTTCTCTTCTTTTCTTCCTTTTTTTTCTTTCTGTCTTTTCTCTTTCCTTTTTTGTTTGTTTCTGTGCTTACTATTTCTTTCTTGCTCTATCAATTTCATTCTCTTATTCACTCTTCCTTTTCTGCTCGGTACTTTTTGCCTCCTCTTTCTTCCTTGCTTTCTCTCTCTCTCTTGCTCTCTGATTTTTGTGTCTGTCACTATCTCTATTACGCTCTCTTTGTATCTTTTCGTGTCCTTCTTTTTCTCTCTTTCTCATCCATCTGGGCTATTGTGTTCTGCATCGGTCGAAGCAGCGAACGTGTTCTGGAACTGAAAAAGATGATGAAAAAGAAGACAAATAGCACGCGCCAGCTGGTCTGCTCGTGTGGCTGCGTTCATGATTATGATGCCAGTGTTAATGTTGAAAAGTTCGTTCAAATATTTGAAGCGCTCAGATATCTGCCCATCCCGACATACTGCATATGTAAAGCCACCGTGTTCCGTCAGCTTTCCACGAAAGCACAATTTAGTTTGAGAGTAGGGCCTCCTTCCATTTCATTTCTGCATCAGCCTGTTCACCATGAGGTTTATATTGTGACAAAAGCAGCTTTGGCTAGTCCCGCACTGTGAAAACTTTCGGACAGCAAAGCTACAAGCGCGCAAGTGTACGTGATCAGCTAGAAAATTCCTCCACTAGATTCGAAATATGTGCTCCTAAAACTTCATTGGTGATAATGAGATCGCACGACCTGCCAGCACTGGCAATGGCGTTCCAGCAAACGACTTGTCACGTGTGGTTTATAGCGAAACCGCGTCACCTGCCGGCACAGGTAATGGTGTTTCAGCGAGCACCTCGTTTGATTTGCCTATGCCGCAGCCAGAATCCTGCCAAGTGTGCACTCCCCGTTATCAGCACGTCCTTCTTAAGTGTCCAGATGCCTTGCCTTGATTTATTATAGGTAATAGAAGTCTGTGATTATTGTAATAAAAGGAAGGGCAAATTGCTTTCCAATATTCTTTATTGAGTGCATGACAATTTGCTTTGTAACACTCTAACCTCGATATAATGAACGCTGATATAACGAATTATTGTTTACGATTAAGTAAATGAAGAACAGTCTTGAAACGTGTAGTGTTAAAAATTATCTCGATAAAACGAATTTTTGAATATAACAAACTCATTTTCTTGTGAAATGTTATAAATCTTATTTGTTATGCACGCAAGCCTCATTATAACAAAGATGCATCTTGCACAAAAATAGGTTCGTTATATCCGAAAATTTGTTATAAAGGTATGCAGTGGAACCCCGATTACGCGACTTACAGGGTACCACGCAGAACCGTCGCGTAATCAAGGCGTCGTATTATCCAAAAACTAATATTATAAGCAGTGACACTCAACCTCGCCCAAAAAATGGGTGCAGACCACCTGAATGAGTCCACGGCATGACCTTGTGCCTCTGCAAGGAAGGTTGATTAAATCATCTTTGCCTGTGTTAGCTAATGGCAGCGTTACTTAGTTGAAGGAGGTACGAGCCAATCTTTATGGTTAACCTTGAAAAAAAAAATCACATCCAACGCTTATCTTTCTACCGATAAACAATGTCCGAAAACTGCCTGCGCGTGGAAACGAAACCGAAACCGCGTTGCCAACTGCCTCCCGTCACACTGGTCAGGCACAGTGTCATCGCTATCACATAACGGCGACAGACCATGAGTTTGCGTAGAATGCCTGTGTGTGCGTGACTGAGGTGCGCGCATTTGTAATTTGTAGGCTTGTGAAGGGCTACTAGTGATGTCCCACTGTTATTGGGAACGTTGACGTCAAGTAAAAGTATGCACGGTGAAAACAGCTGTGTCGCACCCTTATGAGTGCGCAAGTTTGTGACTGTGAGTGCGACAAAGGCAGGAGATCAGCAGTATGTCGACCAGGAAAAGTTTCTACGGAGCAAGAATGTTAAAGTATCAGCTTTTCCGCCGGCTGAAGCTGCTCCGTGTTCACTCAGTAGGGACCCTGTATATTGTCATGAGGATCACGAATACACTTAAGAGAGAAACATGTATATTTGCAATATTTGCAAGTAGCTCTGACACCCAAAGGCTGCCAGCATCTCCCGCCGCAAGTCCGCTTCTCTTTCGTCGGTTCGTCTACAACGGCAGAGTCATGTCCACTGCCTCGTAACATCAGCTCTGGCGGCCGAAGCACCGTCTATCAAGACTTGCAGTATATACCGTAGCATTTTAGGCACGACACATGAACAATGTAGGTGGTGTAGCATACGAGTGTGGTTGAATGGGAGTGATGAGGTAGTCAACGTCCGTGACCTTGCGGAGAACTTTGTAGAACCCTGTGTATCGTGGGAGGAGCTTTTCGCACAAGCCCTCACGTTGGTACGGCGTCTAAGTAGGACAAGAGAGTCAGGAGAGTAGTCAACGTCACGGTGCCAGTCATCGTAGCGGACTTCATCGTAGCCCACAGCCTCGCAACAATATGTACACACGCGATCGAGGCTTATGTAGATAGCGCATAAACTTCCAGGAGAATAAATTTTCCATTTCGAGAAGACATCTTGTCTCACTCTCTACCTTTCTAATCGTCAACCTAGAAAAACGCAAGTTCATATTTTGCACTCGCGAATATTTGGTCCATGTTTGATTCGAGTGAAGGTGTTTTTTTTTTTTTTTTTTTTTTTTCCGGACGAATCTGAAAGTTGTCGTAAGATGCTGGGCCGGCGTAAAGCTTTGTCATATAACCAAGGTATTTAATGCATTATTTCTATGGGGCTTTTAACTGGACCAAACCGATTCGTCGTAAAATGCAGGTTGTCGCGAAACCGGGGGATGTATAATTCATGTTCTACTGTATCCCTAACACTACGTCTATTGCAAGACCATTCTTTATTTACTTCACTATAGCGGATAGTTTGTTATATCTGAGTTCATTATATTGAGGTCTGAGCGTGATGTGGGTTGAGTGTATCTAGGTCTTTATTCACTCCTCCCTACGAAATGGCTACGACTAATACTACAACGACCACGAAGGTAGCACAGGGTATACCAAGTCAGCTTCGCCGTAATGCTGCAAAGATGTTTGCCCACGTGGCGCTCCAAACATTTTGCAGATGGGGGTGCCACCGCGCTGCCTGCTTCACGACAGCACCAGGCCCATTGCCACAGTGGCTGGCACAGCCAGACCTCTGGCGAGGCCACTTCCCGAAGCGTGTGTGCCTCGTGCGACGTGGGTGGCACAACTGAGGAGGCTGCTGGACGCGCACGACGGCATCCTCCTGTTGGACAGGTCAGTGTGGTGGATTAGCGGGGGCCCATGAGCAGGATGGCTTTGTTGTTGCGGCTTTAGTTACGTTTCACTGAAAAAGAAAAAGTTTCGTTCTGTTTTTGTTCTAGAACGACATACTTCCACTAAACCATTTCCCACTAAAGGGAATCATGTGGGGATGCCATGTTCACTTGTCTCCATTTGTTGTTTCCATTTGTATGTTTCCCGGTCAGCTGCAACCTGTTAATGTTCCACGTACACCGTTCGACCAGATAGAAATGGATATTTTGGGACCCCTTCCTACTTCTATTGCAGGAAACCACTGGGTTATAGTCGCAACAGACTACCTAACCAGGTATGCCGAAACAAAAGCTATTCAAAGGAGCACCACAGCAGAAGTGGCGAGATTTTTTATTGAAAATATTGTGCTACGCCACGGTGCCCCGACTATCGTGATAAAAGACCGCGGAACAGCATTCATGGGAGCTCTTTTAGACCAGGTCCTGATGCTAAGTGGAACGACTCATCGTAAGACCATTGCCTATCACCCGCAAACCACCTGTTACTCCTTACCACCTGTTACTCTTCTATGGTGAGCATTGTCATCCTTTGTTCGCGTTGCGCTACGACAATATGTATATTTTTATATATATATAGTCATGTAGATCCTTTGTGAGCAGTCGCAAGGTGGTTTATTTCGATGTTTCGGCCGGAGTCTGGCTTTCATCGGGATTGAGGGTGCGGTTTGTTGGTGCTCGGCTTTATGCGACTTAAATGAGAGAGAGAGAGTTGAAGGAAAGAAAGAAAAAAGCTATGAGAATATTTTTATTGCTTTTTTTTTTCCTTTTTTTCTTTATTTATTCTCTCTCTCTCTCTCTCATCTAAGATTGTGTGAGGCTGAGCCCAGCCCAACAAACTGTGCCCTCAGTCCTGATGGGGGCCGGACTCTGGCTGAAGCATCGAAATAAACCACGTTGTGACTGCGTTGGAAAATATACTTGAGTACTTGCAATGCTATGGCCACTCCAACATCATGCCTGCCTATATATATATATATACAGAAAAATAACTTCGGTTGCCGCAAGGTTATAAATATGAAAGTAGATGCGCTTTCACATAACAACTGTTTATTGTGCCGACGTTACGACGGGAACCCTGTCTTTTTCAAGGCATAATACTATTTACACATGTTCCGTGTCTTCTTATAGCCTGTCAAGACAGGAGGGAAGGGGTCAAAAGAAAAGTAAAAAAAGGAAAAAAAAGAAAGAAAAGAGGGAGAGAGAAAAAAAAAGAAGAAGAAACAGCGAAACGGTAGGACAAATATTAAATAAAATATAGAAAATCTAGGAGAAGAAGCAAGACCGACACGGCGTAATTAGAAAGGGGCAGCATTTCAACAGAGTAGGGCAGAGGTAGATGAGCAATGTCATCATTGTCAACAATACCTCCCCCGCACCCACTCTTCCCCAAGTGGGCAGTGAGCCGCCGTTCTTGTATTTCACCTTTCCGTGTAGTCCGCTGACGGCTCGTTCCTCTTTGAAGTTTAGGACAAGTTAATGGGGAGGGCTTAAGTGCTTTGAGTGCGTGCTGGTGGCGTCGGGAGGAACAGGCAGGGTGCGGCGATGGCGTAGTGGTTAGAGCATCCGCCTCGCATGCAAGAGGTCCGTGGTTCAAATCCCGGTACCGCGCAGTTCCCAACCGGATTAAAAAAAAAAAAAAAATCCGCGTGTTGATGGAACTGCATTAAGAGGCCTGGGGTGCGGCCTCACTGGCAAACACCGCCGAAAACGCACTCCCTCACCAGAGAAGGATTGGCCACCCTGGTGCAGTATCTGGCCACTACCTCCCACATGCTTACGTCAAATAACTCACGGCCCTCAGTCCCCAGCAGCTGTGAAGCAACTGACCACGGCGGCGGTCAGATCTGCAACGCAGCAGAGGGTGCTAAGAATCTCTGGATCCGGACAGGCCGCCATTGGAACCTGAACTTGGCAACGTTTAATGCTAGAACCTTATCTAGTGAGGGAAGTCTAGCTGTACTATTTGAGGAGCTAGAGGGTGTTAAATGGGATATAATAGGGCTCAGTGAGGTTAGGAGGACAGATGAGGCTTATACGGTGCTACAGAATGGGCACGTCCTTTGCTACAGGGGCTTGGCAGACAGAAGAGAACTGGGAGTGGGGTTGCTAATTCACAGAAACATAGCTGGCAACATAGAGGAATACTATAGCATTAATGAAAGAGTGGTAGGTATCGTGATTAAACTGAATAAAAGATACAAGATGAAGGTAGTACAGGCTTACGCGCCTACATCCAGCCATGATGACGCTTCAGTTGAAAGCTTCTATGAAGACGTGGAATCGGCAATGAGTAAGGTAAAAACACAGTATACTATAGTGATGGGCGACTTTAATGCAAAGGTAGGGAAGAAGCAGGCTCGAGACCAGGCAGTAGGAGATTATGGCGTCGGTACTAGAAACGCCAGAGGAGAGCTACTAGTAGAATTCGCAGAACGCAATAATTTACGGATTTTGAATACCTGCTACCGAAAACGAGAAAACCGCAAGTGGACATGGAGGAGCCCTAATGGCGAAAATAAGAACGAAATAGACTTCATAATGAGTGCACACCCTGGAATCGTGCAAGATGTGGAAGTGATTGGCAAGGTACGATGCAGTGACCATAGAATGGTACGGTCTCGAATTCGCCTAGACTTGAAGAAGGAACGGCAGAAACTGATACGCAAGAAGCCAATAAATCAGCTAGCACTGAGAGGGAAAGTACAGGAATTCAGAGTGTCGCTGCAGAACAGGTACTCGGCTCTTAGTGAAGAAACCAACCTTAGCGTAGATACAATGAATGATAATCTGACGAGTATCATTACGGAGTGTGCAGTGGAAGTTGGAGGCAGGGTAGTTACACAGGACACTGGCAAGCTTTCCCAGGAAACGAAGAACCTAATTAAGAAGCGTCAAATCATGAAAATGTCAAGTACAACAGACAAAATAGAACTGGCAGAGCTTTCGAAGTTGATTAATAGACGTAAAGTATGCGATGTAAGAAGGTATAACATGGAGAGAATTGAACGCGCTCTGAAAAACGGAAGAAGTGTCAAAGCATTGAAGAGGAAACTTGGGATAGGCAAAAGTCGGATGTATGCACTAAGGGACAAAGAAGGCAAAATAACTACCAATATGGATAGGATAGTTAAAATAGCGGAGGAGTTTTACAGAGATCTGTACAGTAGCCGAGACAACCATGACCTTAATACTATAGGAACTAGCAGTAACCCAGATTACACCCCACCAGTAATGATAGAAGAAGTCAGAAAAGCTTTGGAGAGCATGCAAAGGGGCAAGGCTGCTGGTGAGGATCAGGTAACATCAGATCTGCTGAAAGATGGAGGACAGATTGTGTTAGAAAAACTAGCCACCCTGTTTACGAGGTGTCTCCTGACGGGAAGGGTACCAGAGTCTTGGAAGAACGCTAACATCATCTTAATACATAAGAAAGGAGATGACAAGGACTTGAAGAATTATAGGCCGATCAGCTTGCTCTCTGTAGTATATAAGCTATTTACAAAGGTAATTGCTAACAGAGTAAAGAAAACATTAGAATTCAATCAACCAAAGGAACAAGCAGGATTTCGAACAGGCTACTCAACAATTGACCACATTCATACTATCAGTCAGGTAATAGAGAAATGCTCAGAGTATAACCAACCCCTATACATAGCCTTCATAGATTACGAGAAGGCGTTTGATTCAGTAGAAATATCAGCCGTCATGCAAACACTGCGGAATCAGGGCGTAGATGAGGTATATATAAACATTCTGGAAGAAATCTACAGGGGATCAACTGCTACCATAGTGCTTCATAAAGAAAGCAACAGAATACCAATCAAGAAGGGTGTAAGGCAGGGGGACACAATTTCCCCAATGCTATTTACCGCGTGCTTACAGGAGATTTTCAGAAGCCTAGAATGGGAACAGTTAGGGATAAGAGTCAATGGAGAATACCTTAGTAACCTGCGCTTCGCCGATGACATTGCATTGCTGAGTAACTCGGGGGACGAATTGCAACTAATGATTACGGAGTTAGACAAGGAGAGCAGAAAGGTGGGTCTTAAAATTAATCTGCAGAAAACGAAAGTAATGTACAACAACCTCGGCAAGGAGCAGCGCTTCGAGATAGGTAATAGTGCACTTGAAGTTGTGAAAGACTATGTCTACTTAGGGCAGGTAATAACCGCAGAGCCGAACCACGAGATTGAAGTAACTAGAAGAATAAGAATGGGGTGGAGCACATTCGGCAAGCACTCTCAAATTATGACAGGTAGTTTGCCACTATCCCTCAAGAGGAAGGTATATAACAGCTGTATCTTGCCGGTACTTAGCTACGGAGCAGAAACCTGGAGACTTACAAAGAGGGTTCAGCTTAAATTGAGGACGACGCAGCGAGCAATGGAAAGAAAAATGGTAGGTGTAACCTTAAGAGACAAGAAGAGAGCAGAGTGGATTAGGGAACAAACGGGGGTTAAGGATATCATAGCTGAAATCAAGAAGAAGAAATGGACATGGGCAGGGCATGTAGCGCGTAGACAGGATAACCGCTGGTCGTTAAGGGTAACTAGCTGGATTCCCAGAGAAGGAAAGCGGGCTAGGGGGAGACAGAAGGTTAGGTGGGCAGATGAGATTAAGAAGTTTACGGGTATAAATTGGCAGCAGCAAGCACAGGACCGGGTTAACTGGCGGAACATGGGAGAGGCCTTTGTCCTGCAGTGGACGTAGTCAGGCTGATGATGATGATGATTATGATGTATGTTTCATGTATGTTTTTTGTGTGTGTTGAGTTGTGTAGTATACCGTATTTACTCGCATAATAGGCGCACTTTTTTTTCAGAAAATCCGGCTCGAAGTTAGGGGTGCGCCAATTACGCGGGGTAAACTCGGTTCTCGCACTTTAAATCTATCTGCACACTTGTCAAGTAAAAGGCGACTTTATCGTTTACCAATTAATTCAGCATAAAACAAACATACCTACGTACCTTTTAATGAACAAGCGAGAGCCGTCAACTGCACACACACACGTAAAATTTATTTACACAAAAGTCGAAGCTGTTCCTCCTTTTCCCTATTCGGAGTCAAACTCCGAATAGGGAAACAAAACAAAACTGTGCAAGTCCACCACTTTGTCCTCATATGCTGCGGGCAACCGCTGGCACAAGGTGGTCCGCCTTCGCAGTGCGGGGCCATGGCGCCGCATGAAACGAGTTGTCCATCCGGAGCTGGCTTTGAACTCTTTTGCTTCGATGCCCTGCGCTTGGGCTATTCTGCGCGCCTCAGTCTGCACAATATCCAACGACACAGCACAGCCGTCTTGTCGTAGCTCCCGTATATGCCGGACCAGTTGCTCTTCGACGTTCGGATACCTGCCGGTCTTGGCACCGCGGAAAGCCCGTCGTGTCTTCTTCGTCGCCTTAAGTTTTTCTTCTTGGTCCCTCCAGTACCGAATACTGGTTTCTCCAACGCCGAAATGCCTGCTTGCAGCCCGGTTGCCGTGCTCCAGCGCGTACTGCACTGCCTTCAGTTTAAACCCAGCCGTGTAGCTCGCGTACTTCCCCCTGGTGGAACCAAAGTTCAATACACGACCACAACATACGCACACCGCTTGCAAAATGGCGTTTCTTTCTTTTTCTCTGATGGTGGTGATGGCGATCGAGCCCCCGGCGTTGTACACGTGACCTCCAAAAAGCGCGGCGATTTGGGGGGTATCAGTAATTGATGGAACAGCCGTTTTTTTTTTTTTCGCTCATGGACGCTTTTTTTTTTTTTTCAAGTTTTATTTCGACAAACACGTTGGTTAGGTCGTTGCACTTCGAATTTTTTTTATTTGCTCGTCGATTTGCCTTCTTTTTTTCTTCAGGGTACGGGGACCGCGTTCCAACTGTACCGCTGGGGGGTAGAATCGTTTCTGATCACGGCCAAGTTCGGGGTGCGCCTATTATGCGAGTGCGCCGATTATGCGAGTAAATACGGTATATTGTGTACTACTTATGGTACCCCCCCATCCCATTTGTGTGTATTACCATGTGTGTGTGCCTCAAGATGAGCACCCAGCGCTGCTAAGAGAGTGCAACGGAGCAGGTGCGCGCAGCATTATATACGAGTGCACAATTGTGGTGGAGATAAGCAAGAAAGGAGAGATCAAGTGGAAGCAGCGCCCTGTGCCACCTCCTTTACCTCACCTCGTCGCGCTCACGCGAAGAGAGAGGGGACAATTGGTGCATGCGCAGCGGGGGAGCGGACGGTCGCCGAGGGATAGACACAGCCCCGAGCAAAAGCTGCTTCACGTCTAAAACATGGGATTTGCGCCTTACCTATGGTGAATTCCAATGGGAGGAAAGGAGCACTCAAAAGCACACTGAGAGTGCACTCTTCGGAGCCGGCATGTTTTAGTGGTCGAACGGGAGTACAAGCACTTTTGCTGCACTGAGAGCAGCCAGGAGCAGCTTGTAATGCTCTCGCCTGAAAAGCGAAGTCGACGAGAGTCACACGGTGGCAGTGGCAGCAACCATGCATAGTTTTGACACCGCAGTTGTTTGTCGTATTGGTATTCCAATGTCTTAAGGACCCTAGTACTGGTGCCGCTTGTACGGATTGCGATGGTGACAGCTAGGAAGAGTACGCAGCTATGTTCGCAGGACGCGTCGTTGCACAAATCTCCTACGTAAGTGCGAATCGGCATAACGGCGAAAATGAGAGGGACAGATTTGGGGGGAAGCGCACTTTGCTGCTGTCCTGCAGAGAATGCCGGCGTTTCGAATGTTTTCAACACGTGGTATAATTTCTTAAGATGCACCTTTGTTATAATGAGGTTTGAGAGTGTGCGTGTGCATATAAATATATATCCGAAAATTCGTTACAAAGGTATGTTCCTAACACTATATATATTGCAAGACTATGTTTCATTTACTTCGCTATATCTGGATTTGTTATATTGAGGTTTGAGTGTGTGCGTGTTATCGTCTTCCGTGCGAGTGGTACGAGCAGTGTATACACGCTCCGCTCATCTTTCAGGAGGGAAAGGGTCAGTGAACTTACGATGGTGAAAGTAATGACATTGGAGTTCACGGAGTGCAGTACATCAATCTAAATTGATTGGTTGTTTTGCCTTAGTGTCCGAATGTCGTCTAACTCGGCCTATTTGATGTGGATTGCAATTGGCTTTAGCACTGTCGCGTGCCACGCAGCTTGAAGGCGTGTTACCGAGCTGAGTTCGGAGCGCTGCCCATTGAGACCAATTTGGAGAAGTGGCAGGCCGGCACGGTGCCCCTGGAACACCTGGTGGCGTCGGTGCCAGGCGTCAGCGTTGTGTCTTCTAAGCGGGGCTTCAAACGAGCCCAGCGGGAGGAATCGTCCAACAAGACAGGTCAGCAATGCAACATGTTGTGTTAGCCCTTTTGCGATGCGACATCTTCGTTTGGAGACGTGACTTGCTTTTGCCGTTTTAGTGCACTGTTGATGAGGAAAAGGCCACAAACCCTGAGCTAATGGTAAATTTAGCATTATTGTTGCTTGGAGTTTTTTTTATAATTTCTGGGTAAATATTTTACTGCAATAGATCACTTCGGAGAGGGCAGTACTGTGCTGGAGACGGTTAATGAGAAATTCTCGGCAGGATTTTAAATTTTTTTTCCTTATTAGGAATGCCCCCCAACAGTGTATTAACATTAAAATGTAACTTTATTGTATCATTAAATATGGCGTATGAAAACATGCAGCATGAGTGATTGTAGGATGATTAGACAATCATTTACACTCAAACGTAATTATAACAAAATCGCATTCTACAAAAAACTATGTTCATTATATCTTAAAATTTGTTATAAACCTGTATTGCTAGCTATGTATTTATTGCAAGACTACTTTTCATTTACTTTTTCATGACCAATATTTTGTTATATCTGTTTGTTATATTGAAGTTTGAGTCGACATTGTAATGTATTATAGCCCTTCCACTTGCTTAAAATGTGGCATGCAGTACCTTATCATCAAATTATGTAAATTTCACCAACTTATCAACAACAGATAATGATGTGCGTTTTAAAGTGTTAACCCCAATTTGCGGTGGCGAGCCGCAGACTCATTCGTAGATGGGTTGACATATGGAAATATCATTCCGATATGCAGAATGGCATTTGTGTGATACTTATTAGGGCACTGGATAAAAGTGCTCACATGTGATGCAGGAGGACACGTTTCTGCGTAGAAATAACATGTTGGTGCTGCAAATAACTTGACACTTTCACAAGAGGATTTGCGCTAGATGCGGTCTCATGTGAATGCACCAAAATATGAATGAACCAAAAATGAGCGCTGCTTGATATTCATCATCAAAGCGTTGGTGAGTAGGAACTGCGCTTTGGCGCTCGTAGTGTGACCCCCACTTCTATTTTTCAGAGAGCATCGTCAAGGGATCGCCGACAGAACGGCTGGCCTTGGATATGGTGGAACTGCTGAGCCTGCAGCCTCACTGCCGGGTGGAAGTAGGCAGGCTGACCACGGTCTACCAGGCCCACTTCTCTCGTAACTTCTGCGTGCTCAACTATGGCTGTGCCAAAGTGGCCGACGTTATGGCTACCATCCCGGAAGTCGTTGAGGTGCGGCTCTTCTCTGGCTTTGTAGACTATCTTACGGCTGGGTTCTAGGGCTGCCATATTCGGCTGTGAAGTCAAGAGTCAAGGCACCTTGGCTTTGTGCATGGTCCAGTACATCCTATGCACAATGTTCAATCTTCCTGTTTCTTGGAACCTCGTTCAAACAAATTTCAAGAGCAATTTGCATCCACATATGTGGGCGTTGTGCCTCCAGGGTATTAAAACACTGCGCACCGCTGCTTGTCGAAACCTCCACAGGTCCTAGGCCACGGCTACCATGGTGTCATAACGCTGACGCACGCGGAGCAGATGAAGCGGTTCGTGTGGGACATGGAACGCCTCTTCAAGGGGCTCATCGCACCCAAGACCCTGTCGATGGCCAGCCTGCTGCAACTATACCTGACCACGTTCGAGCGGCCGCTGGATGTGGCCGACTACGGGGTCTGCACCCTGGATGATTTGCTCGAAGCATTGCCTCGTGAAACGTTTGTGGTAAGCCTTGTTCAACCTTACTTAATTCTTTACAGCAAGGTTGTCCAACCCCCGTATCCAGAAACACTCCTTGACTTTAGCTTGACTTGCTACCGCCTTCAATGCAGCACAAAGGCCTTCTGAATGCACTGCCTTGAGGTGCCGGCTAGTCAGGTTCAAGTCAAGGAGCATTTCTGAATACAGGGATTAGTCTGCCTGCGTCATCGTAGTGGTTAGCATTTGTAGTAGTACAGTAGAATCTCAATACAAATCTCGCCGGGTCACAAAAAATATTTGTCATAGCCGAAATCAGTATCATTGGAACACAGGCAAAACTAGTTAAATTAACAACTAGTCGGAGGCAAACTCATTTTCGGCACTCAAAAAAAAATTGTTATTTGGAGAAAAAATCTCTGATGTCTTCCTGCTTCTTTTTTTTTTTGTCAAGTCACTAAGCAGACTTCTCAGGAATTTGTAAAAAATGCATGCACGTGTCGTCACTGATTTTTTTCAGCAGGCATAGCACACCTCAGCATGTCGAGCGCATGCAGAGTTTCAGCCGCCGGTGGTGGTCCTTCGCCCTCGCACTCGTCTATTTCCTCACAATCATCGCTGGAATCAGCAACCTCACACGTGGCCTCGTTGACAATATCTTCCGCCATGCGCGCGCCACAAGTGGCAAGATTGCCATCCGCCGTGCAAAAGTCGTCAGCCGAACAGCCGGCATCAAGGCATTCCCAGCCCTCAATGGGCTTCTCCGACTCTGAAAGGACCTCTGGCACCTCTTCAGGAATCCTAAAGAAGCCGCTTTTACCAAAGCAGTTCGCAATGGTAGTCGGCGTTACTCTATCCCAAGCCATTGAGATAAAATGTATGGCGTCCAAAAGGCTTATTCGCAGGCCACCTTCATCTTTTCTGTCGATTTTGGCGAGAAGGCGGGGCACAAGAAGGCTCGTGAAATGGTGCTTGACGTCTTTTATAATCCCAGCGTCAAGCGGTTACAAGTGCGCCATCGTGTTTGCGGGCAAAAAAAAACCAGCTTGACATGTTGAAGCATCACTTGCTTGGGGTGGATGGTGCACTGGTCAAGAATCAGAACAATCTTCCGATTCTTGCAGGCCATTCTTCTGTCAAGGAGAGACAGAAATTCTTTGAACAGAGCCGTCGTCATCCATGCTTTTTTGTTTGCGCGATAGACGCATGGGAAATGGCTCATTCGCTTGAAACACCGAGGCTTCTGAAATTTTCCAACTATGGTCAACCTAAGCTTTTTCGACCCGTCGGCGTTACAGCACAGAAGAATCGTTATTGTTTTTTTTTGCTTCTCTTGCCCCCTTGGCATGCCTAACATTTTAAGCAAAGGCTCTTCTCGGGTTGAAGAATAAAAAACAGGCCTGCCTCATCTGCATTAAAAACATCACGAGGCTCATACCCCCGAGATAAGCGACTCCAGCTTCACGAGCCAGTTGCTAATGACGGTCTCGTCAGCCTTCTTGGCTTCCCCACTGACACTTTTGTACACGAGACCATGTCTCGTCTTGAAACGGTGCATCCACCCACGTGAGGCCTGGCATCTGCAATGTGCAGAGCAAGTGCGATCTCGTCGACTTTCTCACACAAAACCTTGCTGTCAGTGTTCTCACCGGCTGCAGTAACCTTTTTGAACCAGATCAATAAAGCGTCTTTAAGTTTTATGTGTTGGGCTGTCTTCGCTTGCTTCGCGTTTACACTGAACGGAAGCACATTTTTCGTTATTGTGTCCCGCTGTCCAACAATTGTGCTCAATGTCGACATAGCGAGGCCTGGCTCCTTAGCCGACTCTGTGCGTTTTCTTTCGGGATCTTCATCGACCTTTCGAAGAATGTCCACTTTCTCCTTAAGGGGGGACGCGGCACTTCGGGACCGAAAATCAGGCAAAAAATCGAGTTTTCGCGGACCTTCTTTTCGCGTTCCCGACATCATTGCGCACCTATTTACAAAATTTCATAGCCGAATACCATCAACTTTTATCGTTATTCAACTTTAAAAAACCGAAAACGGGCGTCCTGCCCTTTAAATTGAGGGCGAATAGCGCAGGTTTCGGCTCTACGATACGCGGGAACTACGCGCTCGATCGGCGCCATTTTGGTCATGTTTGAAAGAACGCGTTTTCAGCTGTTTTTTTTATTCAGTAAGCAACATTGAGCGTTTCCCCGGCTCGAAAAACGGGGCCTCAAAGACGAAGAGCCGCGCTCACTGCCATTGGCTAAACGGCGCACGTGACTGAAATGGCGCTTTCCGGTTGGCTGGAAGCTCGCGGCTTGCGCCTGCATACGCGACCCGACGCCATTTTGAAAGGGTTACCGCTGTGACGCCTCGAAATCGGCAGAGCACTCTGAAGCTTCTGATCGTACCGCCATGCCTGGAAACGCAAAAAAGTATCGGACCGTGCACGCATTTGGTCGCAGGAAACGCAAAGGTCGTGGGAGAAAGTCTACGAAGTCATCAGAGCCCTTGGTTGACTCCGACGAACGATGTGTCGACGCTCCGCGGCCGTTCAGCGATGGTGCGACCGAGCGCGTTGCCTCCGACGACGATGGCGGTGAAGCGAACTCCGGACGACTACGAATCGACGCCAAGGTGGTGACAAACGCCGAAGTTGAAGAAAATCATGCCCGGGAGAAAGCGACGCTCGACCGGCTTTCATCGGCGCCAGCAACTGCACGGAAAATTGACTTTTTCACCGCGAGTTGTAGCGAGGCAACCGCACAGGACTCGGACCACGCTGCTCCTTATCTGCTTATGCATCTAGATATCCTAAACGCGATAATGGGTGCCTTGTGTTGCAAAGCCTGCCACGGACCGGCTACGATCGTCAGAGGGGATCGGGACTACGGACTTGCCGTGAAAGTGCTAGTGCAGTGTGAAAGGTGCGGCGAGATCGCGAATGAGTGGACTTCGCCCCGCGCGAACGGCACGAAAACGTGCAATCCGTTTGAAGTAAATCTTCTCGCTTCGAGGGCGATGGTGGCTACCGGCAACGGCCAAACGAAAATGAACGATATTTTCGCAACAATGGGCATCTCACACCGCGGTATGCACCACAAGACGTTTCAGCAGCATTTGAAGAACACGCTGGCACCCGCTGCAATGCGAGTGGCTGAGTCCGCTATGAGCGAATGTGCGGAAAAGGTTAGAACAATTTATGATGACTTGTGCTTCGGCCACCGGGGCAATATTGCCGTTAGCTACGACAGCACGTGGAAGACGCGAGGCCATTCTTCCCACATCGGCGTGGGCACAGTTATCGAATTATTTAGTGGCTACGTGTTGGACTACGTCGTTCTTTCCAACTTTTGCCTAGGCTGCGAGGTGGGCCCAAAGTCTAGTAGTGAGGGCTATCAAGAATGGAAGGCTAACCACAAATGCCAAAAAAATACGAACAGCAAAGCGGGGCAAATGGAAGTGGAGGCGGCTCTAATTCTATTTCAGAGGTCGCTTGAACGCCATGGCCTGCGCTACACAACTATGCTGTCTGATGGAGACTCTAGGACATTTTGCGCCATACAAGACGCCAAGGTGTATGGTTACATTGACGTGCAGAAGGAAGACTGTATTAATCATGTACAGAAACGGATGGGCACCGCATTGAGAAACCTGGTGCAGAAACAAAAGTGCGATGGGAAAAGAGGCCTTGGTGGGAAAGGCAGGCTCACAGGTGAGCTGATCACCAGGCTGAGCACATATTATGGCCGGGCTCTGAAATCGCATGAAGGTGACGTGTGCGAGATGCAAAAGGCTGTGATGGCCACATACCGCCACGTCACCTCCACTGATGAATGCTCGGACCACAGTCTGTGCCCAGCTGGTGAAACTTCATGGTGTCGGCACAATGTCGCAAAAGCAAAGGGTGAGCCCGACCCCAGGCATGCCTACAATCTACCGAAAGACGTGGCAGAGGCATTACTACCGGTTTATACCCGGCTTTCGGAAAGAGCCCTGCTTCAGAGGTGCGAACGCGGCAAAACGCAGAACTCCAACGAGAGCCTACATTCGGTAATCTGGAGTTTGGCCCCCAAGGAGCACCATGCGTCCCTGTTCGCTGTTGAAGCAGCTGTTGCAGAAGCAGTGCTGCGCTTCAACACGGGCAATTCGAATTCTGCAACGGCAATCTTAGGTGAAATGGACATGAATGCGACAAGTACTGGTGCCAGGAGAGCGAGAGAAAAAGACCACCGTCGCAGCATTGTCTCCAACAAGAAAAGAACAGCCTCATTGGAACTCCGGAAGCTAGTGAAGAGGAGGCATGAGCACAGAATGCATTCAGACTATGCTTCTGGTGCGTTTTGAGGTTGTCTTGTTGCATCTTCTGCAATAAAAATGTGTGCCCACGTTTTTTCTCGATTTCTCAAAACGACAATTTTCATGTGCTTCCCATTATGCCGGAGCAATATCTCTTGTTCTATCTGGGTTATCGTTACGATTTCTTTTTTGTTTCGAAGATAAATGCAGGGGATGTGTCGTAAAGTAAGTTTTATTGTAATAATTTTTGGAGAAAATTCTCTAAATGGATCTTTTGTTTCAAGTGTAGATGGGGAAATTTTTCATGTCATATTCAACATCCCACAACTTTGCTTCGAAATAGCCCAGAACAATGATTTATACTTTATTGCACACTGTGAACATACCGAATTGGTTCTATAGGTTGCACATCAATATCCATGTTACAGTTAATTAGCTAATTAGGCCTTAATTGAAAAAGTCGCAGTTCATTATATCTTTAAAACTAATTGTCACAGCAAAAAAAGAATTAGATTTTTGAAATCAGCAGTAAAATCTACATAGGCTCTCCAAATTTGACTGAGGTACTCGCAAAAATAAAACAGTTTTTGGAACGTGTACCATCCCCCCTTAAAGGAGAGAGCCTTCCACTTGCGAGACATGGCTTGCTGCGACTCCACAAAAAGGCACAACAAAGCAAATACGTGTGCTCTACTGGGCAAGACAGTGTCGACAGCCTCCACACTACAGTAACCACATGT